TAGTCTATCGTTTTGATAGCAGTGATAGTGATATCGTTCAAGCAACAAGGCGACGAGAGAAAGAGTTCGCGTAGATAGTGATTACAACAACAAAACAAAATTATAAAACAAACAATAACAAAATTATAAAAAATAAAATATTGATTTTTTTGCAAATTTCTCGATTTCAGCCAATTCATATAAGTCCAATATCATTATAATGTGTTAGTTAGTTCCAAAAGCATACTAAATAATATGAGGGTCTGTAAATGCCCGTTTCTGCCGAAAAGTGGCGCCGAGTAGCTGGTAGCCAACGTCCAGAATGGTTCGGAGTGCTAAGAGTTAATACTTTAATGGAGCACGCGAATGGAGCATATCCTCGCTACATTAACGCCTGTATTTTATTCAGAAGTTGCAATCTTTAAAAGAAAAGCTTTTGAAAAAGTGGAGTCCCAAAAAATGGGACAATGGCGGATAATGAGTGAAATTTGACCGTGGGGCATTCATCGAGGCTGCAAGTTTAGAACAGCGAGATTTCGTTAGAACGCTGTTAGTCGGAGGTCTATCACGCGTCTCTTCTCGATTCAGCCCCGGTCGCCTACGACCGAGATCGAGATCGACGACGATCGAGCTGACGATTAAGAATCTCACCGGTCATCCTGGGTGACAGTGATGTCGGGCGGAGTCGCGGAAGGCGAGGCACCGTCTGGAGCATCCAGTTTGCCGGCTGTTACCTCGGGCCTGGTCGCTTGAAATTCGTCCTCGGACACCGCGCTCAGGTGAGAACCACGCTTCGAACACGATTCAGAACCGGGAAGCTCGCGGCGAACGCATCGCGGACGTGTCCCGGTTTATCCTAGATGGTGGATAGAGTTCGCCGGTGCTCGACCGGCTCTAGATCCAACTGTACACGGCGCACCGATTCGCACGGCTGCGAAAACCAGCAGGCTTGACTCGGCAAGCCCGATATCTTTTCACTGTTTCTATTCCTTCTTGTTCAGCGTTCTCGCCTCGCCGCGGTACTTTCGAACATTCCCACGCCACTTTCACCGTCCGAATCCGTCCGCAAGAGTCCCCGCGAACGAGCCTCTCCTCTCCGGAACGGTGTCTCCTCTAACTCGCTCCGGCCCGATTCACCTCGAGCGACCGAATTCGACCGTGTGCCGCCGCTTGCCAGCCACTCCGAGGTATCTCGAACGCGACGCGACTCCTGGCCCACCGTAAACGGTCGTCACGTGTCCCTCGACAACCTTCGAAGGATCGCAGCCCGTCCTTTCCGCGACGACGCCAAGTGCGACACGACTGTCTTGCCGCTCTCCGACCTGGGTCTCCTCCTCCTCCTCCCTCGCCGACACACTGCGGACCGTTAGCCTCGATTATTAGATTTATTACGGGGAACAGCCTGCTCCCGCCGAGCCCCGGCTTGCATCTTAGGTGAAAGCGAATGGCAATTACCGTGCAGCCCAGGCAACTCTATAGCTTGTCCTCGAGCGGATCGCGCGGGCGTCTCTGTAAACAGCGAGAAGAAGTTCGTAACTCCGGATCGGGAACCGATCGTCGATGCCGAGAATAAGAACCGGACGGTCGAGACGGGCTTAGCCGGTGGCCGATGGTCGCGCACGGGTCGCTGGTCTCAGGATTTCGGGGCCTTGTACCCGCGAAACGAGTTCCTCGAGTCGCGCTGATCCGCGCTACTTTTTTTCGACGCCGCGCCTCGGGGAATCTCCGGAAACCCGGCCCCCTTCGGGTCTTTCCCTTCTGGAAAGAGCGTTCGGTGATCGTCGCCTTCCTCCGCGACCAATTCTCCTTCCAATCTTCGTCGGAACACCCGTCGAAGACGGCCCAGCGAGTTCGAGCCGCTTAAAAAATTCGCTCTGAACTCCGAAACAAACCTATTCGCTCGACGATTCGCCGGACAAAGAGCAACGTCGTGATCCTCTCGTATCCGTGAAAGCAACGCGATTCACTCTTGTTCGTCGGCAACCGCGCGATTCGACGTCGCCGACGATGCACCGGTTGGATCGATCGGTTCGCCTCGCGACAACGGTTTCGCGATCGCGGTCACTCGGCACTGCGATGATTCTGTCGCTGTAACTTCCAGCTGGGAACGCCGATGGAAACACTTCGGTTCTTCTTCGGCCTCGTGTTACGTCCGCGTGTCGAAGGCGACTGGATATAATGCAGAGATTTCTAGCTGCGAACAACAACGGTGCAACCAGCGACGAGCCGAAGTTCGGCGTATCGAGCACATGGGCGAGTCGCTTCTCGCGGCTCGTTCTCCGACTACGGTGCTCTCTCTCTCTCGTAGTTTTCCGTGGCGCGTAGTCGATGACGGTCAAACTGGGGACGTGTGTGCGCGGTGACGTCACCGGGCGCGTAGGCGCGACGAAAGTTCGGCCGACGAGAGGTCCAAGGGTGTCCGCGTTCGCCCTCGCAATGTTACTCGCGCCGCGTTCTCGAGTGCTGGGAAAAGGGGATCGTCGGCTAGAGGGGCGAGGGACGGGCGGCGCGCACGTGCAGTGCCGGAACGGCCACGTTCTTTTCTTTCTTATCCCGAAAATCGATCGTTAAGACACGCTGCATCGAGTGACACACCGGGCTGGACGCGTGCACGAGTGACCACCGACACCATAAACACTGACACGTTCACGAACACGTAGGACAGAATAGGGAGAGATGAGAGAGAGAGAGAGAGAGAGAGAGAGAGACGCACGTAGCAGAAGCGACACCCGTTGACTCGGTTGTCCCGTGTCAGCCGATCGAGTTAGCCTGAATCGAAGCCGACGCCGTTTCGCGGACGCCTCCACATTCTCCCAGGAACGATCCCCGTTCGGTTTCCTGGAGGAGAGAGGCCGTGCGGATGGGAATCGCCGGGATTGGAATGCGACTCGCGGGTGCAGCCGGGTATTAATCGCAACACTCGCCAACCGCCACGATATACTCGAGGAGACTGGAGTCTCTCTCTGTAGGTGAGGTCCCCTCCCCCTTCTTTCTCTCTTGTACTCTTTCAGTGTCGTAGCCAGCGGTTCCTGGCCACCGGTGCTCCCCCGGATCACGTGCTACTCGTGTCCGGTGTTGCTCGAATCGTTTTCAAAGCGCGGTCAACAATTGAGCCGTTTATATTAAAAGTGGCATAAATCACTTTGTCAAAAAAATCGAATTAATGGTAACACTAATTACAATTGAACGGTATCAATGCATTCTCTATCTGCTCAATTTAAAGCGTTCTACAGAATGTAAAATGATTTAGTAGTTCTTTGTTAATCGAGACAGAAGAAAAATTGTCTTATTTTTACCTTGCGTGAAGAATTAAAGCTTTCGAAATCCTCAAAAATATGAGAATGATTGACAATTCTTTCGTTTCGATGAGAACAACAATCTAATTGGGAAAAAATACCGTAGTAAAGCGTACACCCGCAGTAATAGGTACATTTATTTGATACGTTTTCCAGACTAATTTACCGTCGATATTGTTTTATTTATTTTATTCGTTGAGCTATATTTGAACCGTTTATTTTGAAAGTGGCATAAGTCACTTTGTCAACAAAATCGAGTTAATGGTAACACTAATTACAATTGAACGGTATCTTTACATATTAAAAAAATTTGCCATCAATAAGTTGAGAACTATTGAGATTTGTTCGAGAGAAGTTTTGCTAGTTAACGGTATAACAAACATGTTTATTTTGAAAGTGGCGAAAGTCGCTGTACTCAGGAAATTCATTGCGGGGCTTAGTGTAAAAGAAATAGAAACGTGCGATAAGTGTGTGCGTGAAGTATTGTTTTGAATTATTTTCAGTATTTTTAAAAAACTTGTGATCACTGGACTTATTTTTATAAGTGCGAAAGAGAATAGTGCAGTTTTGTAAATTATATTATAGTGATGTGGCGGCTACCTCCAGACCCGCCAGCAGATGGCTATAAAATGTTTTATAAACTAACTTTAGATGAAAAAGATGAATTTCTAACTTTGGATTTGTCACCAAAAAGAGGAAGACCTAGGCGTTATTCACAAATAGAAATGGATCCGTTATACGCTGGATCTCGTCCTGTTTCTTCAGCAAAATACAAAGACATGATGGACTTGCTTAATTATATACCCCCAATATACCACAGTTATTTAAAAAATTTGAAACAAAACACGATTTCCGAGGACTTAATCACTCCTATTGATGACGAAAATTAAATTGAACTGATGTATTTTCATATAAATTACTTATACTTATGTTTCAAAATGTACTAATTATTTTTGTATTTTATGAATATTAAAATAAAAAATACTTAAATCAAACCTTTATATTAAATATGTTCATGGTATAAATTATTATTATATATGTAATTTATTCAACAATTTTAGTAAATCACTGTCCTTTCAAAACATCACTTCGGTAAAATACGTCGGACAAAATTAATATATGTCAGTCATTTTTCTAAACTATTTATTTTGAAAGTGGCTTAAGTCACTTTACCGTAATGAAAAGTGGTGATTTTTTAATGTTTATACGAAATTATTTATACTGAGAAAAATATCAGTATCCTGAGATAACAAATACAAGTAAATCTTCTCGAAAGTTAGCATCCATATTTTTAAACGTGTTAAAACGCAAACCCTTAAATATCTCGATTTAAAAACAAAGTGACTATGCCACTTTCAAAAGAAACGGCTCAATTTAATGACCGCTCGCACGGCATGCGTGCGATGCCATCGCAACGAAGGTTAGTGGAAAAATAAAAAAATGGACGATGAAACTTTCTTTTTCTTTCTTTTTTTTTATTATTATTATTATTGTAAGTTTTCGAATGTCAGATGAGATTTAGTCGCTGTATAGTGAAACGAATGTATATTTGAACATAAATGTTAACCCTTTGTACTCGAGTGGTGACTCTGAGGCACCGCTAATATCGTTATATCGCGTTCTAAGATCGTTTTTATATGAACAAAGCTTAGATTTAAAAAATCATTATCTTGTAAAAAAGAATAAAAAAAATTATTAAGAAAAGATTGTTATAAAATGCACTTTGTCGTATAAAATGGAAATACTATAAGTCAGAGAAATTATTTTAGATTTACAGTTAAAATAGCTTCGAGTGCAAAGGGTTAAATAGTGATTCGCGAGTTATTTAAACATTTATATTATCTTTTTTTTAAGAATAATTCGATACATGAACACACCCTTCGATAGTGGGTTCAACAAGCTAAACAGACGTGGTGATTGGTGGAAACAATTTTAAGCTACTTTTCAGTTCTAATAATTTTTCATAAACAAGACAATTTATAATTATCGCACGCCTGCATTTAGTCGAATGATTAAATAGCGAAACTGAGTTGAAAGATGCGTCAAATTCGCGTGGCATGTAGCAATACGACGAGAAGTAGAATCGGCATTTCATGACCAGACGCGGCAGTTGATTCCTATTCAATGGTATCACTTTTTCAACCTGATTTTTCTCAAAAACCAAGCTTTAAATAAAAAAATGTTATTCTCCTTTCTCGACTTATTTTCGCAGGTAGAATCACCCCCTTGCCGGTTGCACCACGATTTTCCGAACACCCTGTATATAAATCACCGTCTTCGAACCATCTGCCCGTTTTCCATATTCGATGCCCCTATTTTGGAACGGGCGTTTTAAATGAAAATGAAATTGAATATGAAACACGGGTACCAACTGTTCCATAATTAGGGACAACGGGGACAATTGAAGTACACAATATGGAACAGTATGTTCTTGCATAGAAACACCCGTATTTGAATATTTATTTTAAAGCCGATTTTGATGTAACAGTATTTGCGTGAGCGAATTTATAAAGAACAAAGTTCAAAAATATAGGACGAATTTTTACATTCACTTTCATATGCTCTGTCTATTTTTTATTTTATTATTTGTGCTACCGTTTCAAGAAGGAATTACAATTAAGCGGTGTTTCATAATAGGTACCTTTACCATATTCGACGCGGTTCACGGTATTCATATTCGTTTCGACCGGGAACTTTTTCCTTTCGTTTTCCAGTTTAATTGGCCTCGGCGAGATTTCGAACAGACTTCACGAAAATAATCGTGGACGGAATTATTGGAGCAGCTGGTTTTTAATCCCTGGATCGCGCAGCGTCGAAATAGATATTTCTTTCTTGTTGTGATTATTTCGAGAAGTTTTGGAATTCTTTTAATCTCTTTCTACCGTTTCAAATTTATTTCTTTATTTATTCATTGCACGGTAATTTATTTATTCATTACTAGCTCATAGAATGTACATGTTCTGGTGGATAATTTAGCAATAATTTCCGCGGCAAAAACTCATTAGTATACAGTATATTTATTACTAGATATTTATATTTACATTTATATTTGTTATATTTATATATATATTTATATTATTATTAATATATTATTAATATATTTATATTATTATTAATTTATATTTAATATATATATTTATATTTTATATGTTATATATTTATTATAATATTATTATATTATTATTATTATATGTTATATTTATATATGAACATAAATTCATTAATAGATTTAAAATAACTGATTCTCTCTCAATTGTATTATCTTTGGCTGATTTACAGTCAGCAACGATGTAACTGCCAGCAGTTACATCTTCTGGCAACGTAATACAACACAGAAAAATTAGGCCGATTGGAAATCTTTAAAAAATGAAGCAATAGGGTAACGTTAAAATATGTGTGCCGTCTTTATCTTCGTGGATTACTCGTATGCAATGCCGGATGAGGCACTGCACTCCAGTAATGAATTTCGTTATCCTATTCTGTGATTTTTATTCTATTTCCAACCGTATAAAATCGTTCGCGGTATTGATTTTCAATTTGCGCGAACTAGTTCATGGGAGATAAATTTACCTAGGATTCAATGCCCTGTGCTCACATTTAGTTTTATCCTTTACTTGTGACGCACGACGCGTTTCGACTGTGGTCCGCAAGATTTACATTCGCGGACTCTGTATTTTTATCGAATAGTTCGCGAACGTTAATATTTCATTAGTAATAAACGATCGTAACAAAATGTCGTAGAAAATATCGCTTGTAAACTAGACGGCGGATTTGATGCATTTATGAGAAAAATGTGCAACGAAAACAGAAAATTGTGAACACGTAGGAAAAAAATTAATAATATAGTCGCACTATTTATTAAAATTAATAAAACAAAAACGATTAATTTTATTTAATCTCTGTTCCTCGCAAACGTCTTGACAAATGTTTATTTTGCACAAAAATCCACAGCCTACTTATATACAAAATGTGTGGCTGACATTATTGGAGACAAAATAATGCATAAAAATATTGCATAAAATTCAACGACGAAAAGCAGCATCGATGAAAAAGAGCCGCCGATATTTTAATATTACAAACATGCGCATCGTTATCTGTAAACACGTTAACCGCTCTTTTTCGCACGAATAAAATTAATGCAAAAATCGCTTTGCAACAGAAGCAACTGCAAAGCAAAGTTAAATGAATGTGCGCAGAAGAATTAAAGAGTACAATTTCTCGAAAATATTGACATTCTCGTCCGAGTCAAATAACATCTGAAACACCTTTTCCGCTTATCATTTCGTGTCAATTGTGACAACATCTGTGCTAATACGTTTAAAGAATAGACTGAAATATAAGAAAAAGAAGCAGGTGTAGAGGACTGACAGAAACGTTAGAAGGCGCCCGCTATTTCCGGCCTTCCGACGGCCCTGTAATCGAGGCCCTCCTCCTCTCTCCCACTCTCTGAAGTGCTCTCCCTCGGTCACGTACTACGTTACTACTCCCTATTGGCCTCTCCGTCGCTCCCGGCAACCGGTCTCCGTTTATTAACTCATGCAACCGTCCTTCTTCATCCCGCATTTACTCCGAAACCACTGTTCCTCGTCGCTGCACCGAGATGCGGTTCGGCCAGATTCGTAAATTCTCGGCAC